TAGAGCAGAGCCCAGCTGGCAAGCGCAGGAGGCAGGGTTTCCGTTGCTTTGCGCCTTTTTCGGGCGAGCATGGCTTCCGGGCTACCGGCAACTGCTCCCGACTCCTTTTGCAAGGCGCCGTCAGCATTTTTCCTCTCACCGGAGTGAGAGGACCCATTTATCTACTCACGTAAGTTTTCAATCTGCTGGGCTGGCAGGAGCTGGGGAGGAAGCAGGAGCTCACACTGCTACGTGAAGGCTGGGCTCGAACTGCTGAAGTGTCGACCATTTCTGGCCGGCAACTTTCAGCATCATTAAGCCGCCGCGCCACCGCGTCCCACTATAACCCATATAGCAACAGATATATATTCCATATAGCGACAAAGGAGAAAACTAAACTGCCAGATCTTTCTTTTCTGGTGTTGAATATGGTTTCTCAAACTCAGATCTGGATCACATCCATGCTCTTGGAGTAATCTATCTCCAGACAGTCTCATGATTAAGGGGGGAAAGGCAGGATATGAATGGGATATCAAATGAAAATTATTATTATATAAGCGTGTTGGAAAACAGGCAATACAGTATTTGCAAACACTCAAAATAAATGAGCCTTGGAAACAATCTATAAAAGAATAGAGCAAGCCAAGCAGATTCATCCAAAAATAGAATAAATTGTTTTCATTTTATTACCTTTGCTACATAATTAATTTAGAAGACAAAAATTGGAATATCCTTCATGTAAACTGCCAGATCCACCTCCCCTTCCCCACCACAGTTTAGCATAAATTGAGGAACAGTCTTGCACTCAGGATGTCTGGGACATAATTATGAAGCCAGTCAGTAGATTATTATTTCCTACTATACTACATCTACAGATGAAATAATCCACATTTCATTTCAGCTTTAGGTTCAGTGAATGGATTGTGCCTAAGCAACTGTCAGAGAAATACAGATTATATTCTAGAGCTTCAAATTTGGTGGGATGACACTGACTTATGGCTGGGTACCACTCAGAATCTGATCAGCTGAATTTAAAGAAAGAGAGCTGTCATCAAAACAAAGGTTGTGAATATTATTACTAGCTGAATTCAATAGCCCAAATGGCTCCATGGGCTTCTTTTCCATCCTCCTAGATCTCTCTCTCTCTCTCTCCATCTGATTCTCTTTGAAATCAGTGATATACTATAGAAAGGTTCAAAGGGAGAAGCCTAATCTTGGCCACCCCTTTATCTACAAACCAGGTGGCTTAAGATATAAGCAGAGAATTTTGAATAAACTCGCTGGACAAAGCCAATTTCCTTTGCATCCCAAAGCAGCACCAAACTAAGAGAAAGCTGCTTGCCAGTGCAGCAAGCAGTGGCACCAGCAAAAGAATCCCAGAGGGAAGCACAGCCGGGAACAGTCACTTTACACTCTGTTTTCTCGGCCTGATGCTCTCTGCAAGCAGATGGCCAAGAGACGGCATCATCACAAATAATTCTCTCCTCTGCCAGTTCTGCAGCAAGGAAAACAATGACTCTCCTGTTGGGTGAAGCTGGCAGGAGAGAAGCAAGATGACCGCCTCTAGGCCAGCCAGTTGTCCCACTCCAGCTAGTTCACTGCAGAAGAAAGCGTACAGATTTCACATGCACCAATTATTCCCCTCTGGTCCAGAAGTGAGTAGTGCCGTCGCATCCCTAAACCTCTTCCTAAGGAAATCAACAGTGCCAACATGCCCCTTTGCCCGTCACACTAATGCCTTCACTGCCAGGTGGACATCAATCATCTGCTAAGAGCGATATAGGGGCGGGGGAGGAGGGAGACCATCTGCTTGTTGTTTAATGCACTATTCAATAGCAGGAATCCACCAGAGGGTCCAAGCACAGGTTCCATTGTTCTCTGCCAGCATCTCAGAACCAACCATTGTCTGGCTCCTAATGAACTTTTCTGCAATTAGAAATGCATGTGGAAGAAACGAGCAGCTGGGTGGATGTGAGGTGGTGGGTCAGAACACAGGGTTGATCATTTGCCAGTTTTTTTTAGAACACCACACTCAATTATCTTTGTTTCAAAATAATGTAAAATAAAACCTCCCTTCTGCAAACTAGGTGGAGTATTACAAGGTGCAGGGCTGATCACAAAAGGTAGCACTGGATGACTCTTTTTCAATTCCTTGATCATTTTACCAGGGAAAAACACAAGGTACCTTGGTGCTATTTCATGTTTATATAAAACATTGGGAGAAATTGTAAAGAATGCAGAGAGGCTGGGGACAATGCCTAGTAGCAATAATAGACTAGTAGGGGATCAATACACTGTGTCTGAATCCTGGTGAGATTAAGGCAGTATCAGTGAATGGTTTCTAAGTCAAGGAAACAGATAGTTGTGGATGGAGCTGAATTCCCTCTGAAGGAACAGGTATGTGGCCTGGAGATGCCCACAGAGGGGCCTCAGTGCTAAAAAGCGTTTATGCCAGCTACATACATACACTGATGGACTGGGATAGTTTAGTTACAGTGATACAAACGTGAGTCACTTTCTATTCCTACTAGTTTCTCTGTGGGGTTACCCTCATGGATGACAAAAGAGATAGCTAGTCATTGTCATGTAAAACCATAGTCAGTGGTATCTGTAGGGGGAGCAAGGAGGGAGGCCAGGCTGACAAAAGCAGTGCAAACCCTGCCCCTATGCAACGTATGTCACTACACCGCAGTTACCCAAACCCAAAAGGGGCACAGCTTGCAGTGCACACCTTTCTTTAAAAAAACAAAACAAAACTATCAGTTGTTTAAAAAGGAACAATAAAAACTAACAAAAACTAATACTAAGAGAAAGGATAAGAAGGAGAAAAAGAAAATGGCCAGGAGATAGCGGCTCAAACCTGAATGCTCCACGAGAGAATCACCTTCCTTCTTAGCAGAATCACAGTGATTTCATAATTTACTTGTGGTGACGCATTACACTGCAGCATCAGATGTGACAACTGTCTAGCTTAGACCAATGCTGGATTATGACATCTTATTTCCAAAGGAAAACTCCTAATATGTGCGCCTAACTGCATAGAAAAAGTCAACGTCCATAAATCATTAAGGGGAAGAAGGAATGTACAAGACAAGAAACTGTATAAATCAGATGGCATAAATCCAGTAGATACTAGGTCTGGTGTCACGATATTAAAGGATACAGGAGTTGACAACAAATGGGTGGGGCCACATGTGGCACACAGGTTGCTCAAATCTATTTTGGGGGAGACTTCTCTAATCTAAACTACAACCCTTCCTGTAACTATCCAGGACCGCTGTCAACAATGTGTCAGGGTAATGGAAGGCATAATTCCTCACATCTGGATGGGACCAGGATGGAAATGACTGCTTTAGAGGATTCTAATTATGGTATGTGATGCAGTGACATAGCCTGCCTCTCTGCAGTAACAGCACTCTCAATGCTTTAGTAAGAAATTAGCAAGACATATCTTATGTCCACACCCTCCATACACACAGCCTTTAAATCCCAGAAGATCTCTTTTTTGAGCAACACCCAAAAGAAAAATCCATCGTCTCTGCTTCACATACAACAAGAACCTCCCTTCAGTGGAGATTCCATCATTTCCAACCCAGCTAGCAGACAAACACTTGCACACCCAAACAGTTGGCTGAAAACAGGCTTTGACAATGCAGTTGCCTGAATTATAATGAACCTGGATACAACAGGCTGATCTCCCACTACAATGAAGGACTGTCATAGAAGTTCTATAGAAATCTATCCTACAATTTTCTACAAATGCCTAAATAAGACCCCTCACATAGGAACTGGTCAGAGAATCCAAAAAATATAAATATTCTGAAAATTCCTTACAGGAATAGTTATGGAATAAAATTGAAGAAGAGTCAGCCAGCTTTTGTAGCATATTTAAAAGAAGGCGTGAATTGAGTAAAAGTCCTCACGGAGATTATCTGAGTTGTCATAGGAGCCTGAATTCTTGAACTGAAGGAGAATGAACACGGGTGACAGAGAATTTATGCATTTTAGCAACAGCACTGGATAAAACAGAAAAGGGGGGAGTTTATAACTATGATAACATCTCACCCAGGGATGCTGCTGCAAGAACCATTGTTGATCACGAGGAGGCCAGATGGGAAGGTAGTGATGTTGAACTGTCTCACTAGCTCTTCATTGCTCTGCAGGACTCGCCTTACTGCAATGTTCTCAAACTGAAGCATATCCAATGCTACCTAGAATCAGAGATGGCATCAGTCAATGTTAGGAGTGGGAGTTCAACTTTTCTCAGCTGGATGTGACAAGTTACTTTTCTCCTTCTCTATTCAAAAATTTAAACTTCTGAAAGTCTCTCTCGCAGCTCTCACTCATTCTCACTCTCCGCTACCATGGAAATCTTGCAGATCCTTTCCAGGTGATTCACATCTGAACAGTGTCACGTTAATATCTATGGATTAAACAAAGGCACACACATTCTTTGGAATGTTCTATTATTATTTCCTTAGCAATAATTGATCCATTACCAAAGTCTCCCTTGAATCCTGAACTGGAAAAGAGGTAGGTAATACCTCATTACAAGCGCTCAGCATTATGATTACACAATTAAAGAATATTAAAGTGACCTTTGTGTTTATTTCTTTAACAGCCAGTAGGTACAGCCTCCTATTTCCTTTAAGACTTGTGGCAGTTAACTACTTTCTTTGCTTCCTCTCTTATCCCCAAGTTCCCTGAAGGGAATAAAGCAGCCAGAGGTGCTCAGCAGGCCCTTGAAGAGGAAACTCAGAAGAGACAGAAACAAAGAACTGAGAATGACAAACAACCTTTTTCATTGTGGAAGCAGATCTACAAAAAACAGTTTACTTTTCCTCTCTTTCATGCACTAGCTCCTTTGTGCTGATCTGCATCAGAGAGCACTGTCAGTTTAAAGCCAAAGGCTACACTGGACCTTCAGGTGTCAGGTCAGGGTTACAGTCCAACAAGAGTTATAATACACATAAGATTCTACGATAACTTTTGGGGAGCCACTTCGAGCCCTGATCTACGGGTGAAACATTCTGGCTAGAACACTGCCTCAGTTGCCAAAACAGCCCTCTGGTACTTTTTATCCCATGATAGAAGTCCTTCTCTTCAGACTTGGAGAGGCAAGTGGACATAGAAATCAAGAGAGTACAGAAAAATACAGGCATGTACTATGAAGAGCAAGATAATGGCTGTCCCTTAGTCAGTTCCCCCTTTTCCTCTTTTCAGGGACCAATTATTCTTCCATCTTTAGGAAAACTGGCAGCTAAGAAGAGACATAGGGAGAGACATAATTAACACACTTGAAGCTGTAGTCAGCGGCTGCTCATCCATGCTTTCCCATGTATGAAGAAATCTTCAGTGCCACTACCACATGTCAGTGTTGTAAGAATCAGAATTTACATCCTTTCACCACATACACATTAGAGTAGATATTAAAGGCCTTTTTGATGTTCTTTGCCTAATCTGAAACCAGAGGCTTATGCTTAGCCTGTCAGAAAAGTTTAAAACAAAGGTCTGGGCAAACCCACAAAAGCCTATTGTCAATGTTATCTATGTTTACTTTGGCTGAAGAGACTGTTTATAAAAAGAGATTATATTCTAACTTACCTTGCAAATGTAATTGTTGTGAAGAAACAAAAAGATTTCCCTATCACCTTGAATGAAAAAGCTAACCAGCAGAAGTGTTGTCCTGGCTTCCTCTTTGTCTTTTGATTTCCCGGGGAGCGGAGGGGGGGGGATGGATTATGTGAAAGAAATTCTTTCTTTTGTGTGTTTCCTTCAATTTAACCTTGTCAGAGATGGTATCTGGGCACATGTGCGTATCAGTTATCCTTAACAGAATGCACTAGCCAGGGAAGAGGAAGCACCCCAAAGCTTAATGCTGCAAAACAAAAATCTCCTGAATAACTCAGAAAGGCTAACTTGACCTAACACAGGACACTTAACCAGTAGAGATGGGGGAATATCCCTAGAATAGTTTTTGTGGACAATATCAGAGACTAGATCAGGATGTCAAACGTTTGCCGAGGGATCATGTTCCCACAGAGAGCTTGACCCAAGTAATATATTCCAGGAGGGAACAGGAAGGAAGAACCAAGATACTTTTTATTTATTTCCACAAAAGTTACAGGTCTATATTTAAACATTATTAGCCCATTTATCTTTGGATGCCTGTATCCGCTTCGCTCTAAAAACTCACTTCTGGCAGGTTTCCTGGTCTGGTCATTCTGATGCTATAGGGAATGAATGGGCCACTGGCCCTTTTACAGCTGCAGTGCACTTGACATGAGCCTACCCTTCAAGAGTGTCCAGAAATTTAACAGATACACAGTACCAAAACCTCACTGTATCTGTGTGGAGAATCCTGTACTGGCTGCCAATTACTTTCCAGGCACAATACAATAGTATCTTGCAAGTCTGATTGTGTTTTACCTCCCCTCTGTCTTATGCCTCAGTGAACCAGCAGCGTTTGCCTGAGTCGCTTCAGAATATCATCTTGCTTAAGGACTTAAAGAATGCTTTAGCCCTCTTTGCCCAGGTAACAGTTCTTGCATCTCTCTGTCAAGGTCATCTCCCTCACTCTTTGCTCTGTGGAAGGCTTTCACTTAGGAAATGGACTGTGTCCTTCCTCTTCATTCAAGACTTTTCAGTTTGAATTTGATAATGATTACAGCTAAGTCTCAATTAGTGCAGTTAATGAATCCCACGAAATGGTCGCAGTATTTGAATTCGCACTATTTGAAGTGATATTTCTATGGAAAATATGGTAATTGGTTCCAGCTCGATGGAAATAGGAAATGAAGAATTTAAAAAAATAATGAAGTGTTATAGTAAAGGATAAAAATAATACACTTTTGATTTAAATGTATAGTTACCAAAGTCACAGAGTAGTTACAGAAAGCAAAATTTTAAAAAAATTCTATGGTAGATTCCAACATCTCATCCTATTTTAGTGTGGCTAAGACATGTTTGTGTGTTCAATTACATCAAATGTTTGTTCTAATGTAATAACAAGCCTCTTCTTTTTTAAACTTTCACTGTTTTCCTCTGACAGAATCTTCCTTTTTGCCATTTTGCACACACGAAGATTAGCAGTGTCTAAAACCTTAACCACAACTGTACATGTGTAAGCCTCAATTGTGCATGCGCTGGCCTTGCATTAACTGGGTTGCATTAAATGTGACCTGGTATTAATTTGCAATTTGCACTACGCTGAGCTGAATGTCATATTATTCGAACTCATATTAATTGCAATCTACCTATATTTTAAAAGTTTTAATCCGATTTCAACTGCTGATTTTAATTTTACACTAGAGGTAAAACTGAGAGGTCTTGAATGCTTTCCGGGTAGAAAAACAGGATAAAAATTGAATAAACAATAATAACAACACTGGCTATGATGTGCATGTTGAACAATCAATTAAGATTCACCTCTCTGCTCAAAAAGGAGTCATCCTTTTCAAATATCACGGCCAAATAAGTCACGTTGTTTCTCAGAAAGAAGTCACGAAGTTCTCCCATGCTGCAAAAAGATGAAGAATGTTATATACTGTTCCAAGTACAGATGAATATCTTTTTCAAGCAAATTTAGAGCTGTCCACTTCCTCCTACTATAGGAGATCTTACCCAACCAACTGTTGAGCATTTCCTCCTGGGTGTAGGGGACAGCAATAAGTTTTTAATCTAACTGGATTTGTAACCTTGTAAGAGAATATCCTAAGGGAAATAATCATATCTAAAGGTCCTTTCTCTGGTAATCAGGACCCCTTTCTTTTTTTTCTCCCTTTGATAATCTTTTCCAAGAGAACAGAAGAAAGAATGCTTCTTCACACATAATCAGTTTTATACAACTGTGAACAATTGTTTTGAGTTTTCCAAAGTTTATCTCTAATTCCAGAATCAGAGAAAAAGCAAGGCGAAGAAAGATAACCCACAGCTAGCTAAAGTCCTAGCTGACATGTCTCAAGTGGCCAGTTCAAGTCACTATAGGCTTATATCCTTACAGGAGCCTTTGAATCACATTTTCAGAATTCAGAATTTTGATGAAGGTTCTGCGTCCAACCTTTGCCAAGCAAACATTGTCAGATATTAATAAGATTTCTGCCCAGGGTTTCCTTGATCACTCCAACCAATTTGCCTTCTAATCCTTGTCCACCAGGTAGGAAGAAGCCTCATCACACAGTCAAAGCAAACTACCAGCTTTATTGCATAAATATTATTTTTTAAATGACAGATCAGTAGGATGATCCAGGTTTGATTACACGATGAGTTGTCAGCTCTTCAAGGTAGATTAGGCCGAGAAACAGACATGACAAGAAATACTAGAACTCTACTCTATAGATATAGGCTATAATAATCTTGAAAGCCTGACAGGTGTAGACATCTCAAGGTGATTTACAAACAATGATTCAATAAATGAGCAATTGTTACAACACTTTCCAAACATTATGAACTATAACTTGTCTTTGAATGTTTGTATAAGCACTCTTCTAAGAACTATTCATTTACTGATTCACTGTTTATAAACTTTATAAATTAAAATAATATTTCATGTTCTGAACTTGTGAGCTGAAGGTTATCTGCAAAACATACAACTCCAAATTATGAAATGTCAGTTCCTCTAATCACTCAACTCCTTACAAAAGAATGAAGTATGAGCATACTCTGAATGGCTATTTCTGTCCCCAGAATAAAACCAGAAGGTACAAGTATAATTAGGCTATTAATTGTCTAGTCACAGAGAAGGATAAAATTGCAGAATCTTTGAATGGAAACCCATGCTTTCTTCCTCTCCGGGGCTCAACAGCAATGTGGAAAGCATGCCTGATGATGAAACACTGAAGAAGATTGAATTTTACTCTAGGAACATACTGGTTGGGGAAGATGGAAATTTTAGTTCAACATATCTGGGGGGAGGTAGCAGGCTGGGGAAGGCTAAGTTACACAGTACTGCATAAACAAACATGCCATTACAGCGGCAAGTGTGGGTTCTATATAACTAACTGATTAACCAGCTACAGTGGGGCAATTTGGCTGCCCATTGTTGATAAGGCTGTTCTAGTTAAGGGTGCACTTGTTTTATTTTATGAGACTATTTCTATGCTTTTGAGTTTATGAGATAGAAAATTAGAAGACTGTTAAAATTATATTCTTTCTTAACACAAAATGAAAGCTTTTCTTGACAAACTGAAATCAGTAACTTCAGACTATTAAGTAAGAGTCCTTAATTGGTTGAAGCCCTACCACAGGAGAAGACTGCCCTCTGGGATGAGGTTCCCTTGCAATCCGGATGGCTCCCACCCTGCTGACATTCCAAAGGGCCGTAAAGACCTGGTTGTTCTCCCCGGCCCTGGGCTAGGGTGGCTGGTGCCCCCTTTCCTAGATGTTAGTCATCGGTGGGAGGTTTCAGGGTTGGCTGGGTAAGCCATCTTGCTCTTCCTCTGTTGTTGTTGTTGTCTGAGTCTGGTTTAATTGTCTGTTGTTTCTATTATATCGTTTTTATATTGTTTGGTGTATTGTGAGCCAACCAGAGTCATTTAGAGTCAGTTGGCATCAAACTGAAGAAGTAAAGACTTTATCAAAGGCAGTTGTAACTTGGTTTCAGTAGTAAGACATAATTTCCTTTGCAAGCCAAGCAAGATTACAGAATTTTCTTCCTGCAGTAATCTCTGACTACAGCAGGGAAAAATCTGGGCCAGCACAATCAAGGCCTTTTGGTAATCAGTGAAAAACATATTGACTTCTTGTTGGAATTCTCTGGTTTTCTGAGTTATCCAGCGTGCATCAGCAATAATGTGTCACTTTATATGAAATGGGCAGCTATATAAATATGATAAATAAATAAAAAATAAATAAAATAATGTCTCATGTTCCTTGGCTTTTTCTGAAGCCAGCCTAAACATCTGACATATCCCTTTCCATGTAGGGCTCTAATCTGTCTTGGATGATTCTAAGCACTATTTTCTTAGCATGTGAAACGAAGGCTATCGTGTGATAGTTTGCACACTGTTAAGTGTCCTTTCTTCAGTACTGACATGTACGCTGATTTCTTCCAGTCTGGCAGCCACTATGTCCAGATTCACTCTCATAGTTTGGTTAGAACCTTGACTGATTCTTTTGTTGCTTGCCACATTTCTTTAGGTATTCCATCAATTCCTGCAGCCTTCTGACTTGGTAATGACTGGAGAGGTGACCTAACATTATCTTCTAGTACTATTCAAAACTTAAGTCAACATAAAAGTAATAGAAGCATTCCAGAAAACAGAACTAAATAATACAGGAGCTACTTTTAAATATTTTTCTACAATCATTGTTAGAAATTAAATATTTTATCAAGATCAGCAATTATAGAAATAAATAATTAATGTACTTTCAATCCCTCCTTGTGGAACATTCTCCCTCCTGAAGTTAGTCTCACCCCTTCTCTGCTGTTGTTTAGGAAGTCCCTCAAGACCTGGTTGTGTCATCAGGCCTAGGGGTCTTTGGGAACTGGAGACATTCTTAGATGGCTCCACTGTAATTGATATTCTGTTCCCTCCATGGGATTTGTATATTTTAATACCCTTTTTTTTTAATTGTAATAATGTTTTTATTTTAATAATAAATTTTTATCTTTTTATATGCCTCTTTTTCCAGTCTCTGCTTTCTTTTCCCTTTCTCTCTTATCCTTCTCACAATTGATTTTAGATTACAATGTTCTTTGGGGCAAGGATCTGATATCTTCATTCTGCTAAATGAGAAGGACAACACTGTCCTATGTTATAAGATAGTTATAACGAAGCACTCTGAATATCTATTGCAATGCAAATGCTGAGTTTTCAGAGTCCAAAGCCCTTTTACATATGCTGTTGGGTTGGAAGGAAAGACACGTGGCATGTGTACTGACACTTAAAAGGGATTGTCTGCTTTGCAATCTCCTTCCAAATTACCTTGCTGGCCGCAACGGTGGGCTGGCAGAAGGCCGCACGTCTTCTTGACGCTCCACTGAGGTGATTATGGTCTCTCTTAGGGCCTGGACGGTTTTTTCATGATCTGTACAAGAAAAAGAGATATCATCGTGAAATCCCAGCCAACCAGGGTGCATCACTCAACGTGCCTTTACCCCAGAGAATACCATGCATGAGCAAAGACCCAGCAGCTTCTACTACCTCTGATTACTGGGGATTGTTGCAGACAGCCTCTTTCCAATCGTTTAAGTACAAGGATTCCTTTTTTGTGATTAGTCTATCATTTGCATCCATGCAGAGAGAGTACACAGGAAATGATCTATCAAATCATGAAAATAACATTTACAGATTTTTCAAGGTCTAACCTGTCTTAGCATCCTTCCTCTTTTGTCTGACTGCTCTAAACATGAAATGACAGAACTCAGCCATTTTTTTCCCTGAATGACAACTTAGAGGAAGGTGAGTTCCAGTCACCAGTAGGCTTCCAGCAGCTCATTTGTCCCAGCAGATATCTCCCTATGCCTGCTGTATCCCTCTAGGGTTCAATTTTCAGTTGAGAACTGAGGGGCAAAAATAAATATGGGAAACAGATTGAGCCTAGCTACAAAAACATAACCCTTTGTTCAGCTAAGGAGCCACTCCCAAATTAGTTCTTACATGGCTCATCCCACAGTACAGCATTTCCTGAATGGGGATTCCCTCCACAGAGAGTCTCAATAGCTCTCTTGACTAAGAACCTCACAAATGTTGCCTAACAAGCATCACCAATTAAGGAAGAATAATGGTTTCATCCTCCCTACAGGTCAAGTAGCAATCAACTGTATCTGTTGGAGTTCATAAGGAGAGTATACTTAGATGCTGGCTTTTGGGCTGCAGCAGGCAATTTTCATGCACCAATGGATCAGCACTTTCCATTCTGCCTTTAGATTTTGCTTCTTCTTTCAGGGGTTATTTTGATTCTGTGATGTTCCTGTTTTCCCCCCCACTGCAACCTAATGAACATGCTGAGAATTCTTTGTTACAGATTCTTTAGGTTTCTTCAAAGAGGAACACTCCTTGGTTATCCCTAGAGATGAAAACCTCCTATTGTATCAATACTGAGGTCGGGTAGGTCTACATCTAGGTAAGCTCAAAACAGGTTAGCATTCACACAGCTTATCTGGAAATAAAAAACCCAACCACAACTGGTCATGGCTTAATTTTTTTCCAAAACAAAAACAAAACATGCAGTATTCTGACCAATCATATGAATACATAATGTGTGCAAATTTTAACCACAATATGCAAGACAAAGTCAATTCATATGTTCTTCTCTAAATAAGTTAATCAGGTTCCAATTAACCTATATCCTGTATTATTTATCTGGGTTCAGAATTTTGGTATCCCAAAATGAGAGTCCCAGTCTCCTGATCTGAGAAGAAGGACAGAAATATTTTTCAATCCTTGCCCAAATGAAATACATCACAGAAGTGTGGAAAAGGAATGAGACATCTCAGAAACTGTGCATTCCAATAGCAGTCATATTAAATGGTAGATCATCTGTCTCCTCGATAAGTATGACTGTCCTTGATGACAGAAAGAGACAATTTAGCTGCTATTTCACTGACAAGAATTCTACATACGGTACATACTGCTGAATTGTATACCATCCTCAGGATTCTTGGAGAATGTCTTGAAAAACTGGAAAGAAATAAACCACATAGTTAGGTTCTGCTTTTAAATACTGTTTTTGCCAGTATGCAAAACAACACAATTGCCAAGTTGTAACTTGGAGTTCTAACTCATTGGCTTAAAAGCTGGGAGAGAAGAACATAGATTGAGATGGAAAAAACTACCAGGACTGTTATTTGTTGATCTCTCTCTGTTCCCTTTTGAAGACCTGAAAGACCAGGTTAGGAGTAGATCATCATGGAAAAAATCTACCTATGTGGTCACTAAGAGTTGACACCAACTCGATGGCACATTATCAATCAATCAATCAATCAATCAATCAATCAATCTCCATTAAATTGTTTTTTTGTTAAACCATTGTATATATAATATTTAGGTTTAAAAACCTCTAAGTGAAGTTTTATTTTACACATAATTAAACATAAAGATTAAAACACTACTTTGAACTCTACTGCTCTGCGCTCTGGGATCCAGAATATATACCCCATTTTCATCTGCAGATGCGCAACACAAGAATGCTGATTATCGCATAGGGAGGATGCAGTGAGAAATGACAGAACTGGAAAAGCACTGCCAGGAAGAAAAATATGTGGCTTTAATTAAAAATGAAAAGGCAGCTGCAAATCTGTTATAGCAGGCTTAACTCATCTTAGCAGGAGCTCCACTGGTTTCCAACCTGGTAGCTACATTTGCCTGATGGGTCGGTCACATGTTGCCTAGGACACTGCTAATCGATTCAAACTTCCTGATATGTGCTGTGCCCTGTGGGACTTCTGCCCGTTTTTCTAATACAGCACAGGGAGTCATTTGAGACCTTAAAAAGCACAAGTAGTACAAGGCAGTGTGGGTATCTTGTTTTGTAGACCATTTCCAGCATCTTAGTTGTTTCTAATTTAAACAGGTTGTTCCTCCAAAGTTCTGGACATATACCATTAACATGAAAGCTAACATCAAGGGAAAAGAAGAGCCAGAGGGAAAAGTTAATCAATAATCCACTTCTTAGCAAAAGTACAAGAGGGAGGAAAGAAGAGTTCATGTAGTTACAAATATTGAAGACTATGCCAGAAATACAAAATTGCTAAGCTCAGACGAGCCAGTAATTGGGTCACACACAGCCTTAAGCTATAATGTGATTCTCTGATCTGCTTTAGTGCATGTGTGAATCTCACCACTGTGGTTTGCCAACCATAGTTAGTAATTTATCGTTTTATATGAACCCAGTTGGAGAGTTGAAGAAATTCTAAGATGGGGGTCCTTTCCCTGTTATTCACCTCTCCCCATCCCCCACCCCCACGAGCTTACGGTAATCTCATAGCTACATTTGGAGCTGGGTACTTTCTATGGACTCCAGAGAAAAGATACCTTAACTCCTGATGTTACTGTCACATCGAGCCAAAAATTAGACAAAACATCTTTTAGAAAACAGTTGTCACTAAATATTCCATTTCTTCAGGAG